AAAAAATCTGGTTAGGATTAGTATAGTTGATATCCCAGGGCACAACACAGCTCTAGCATACTAAGAAGCACTATGATAGAACTAGGAGGATTTTGTCATAGCAATGTCAGCTCAGAAATTCCTCAATGTTTATGAGGAGAGCCCACAACACCCGGAATTGTTACACAGTTCTGTTTATTAAAGCTTGTATTTTCACACAAACAATAACCTAGATTTCAGAGCTGAAATAATCAAACAAAAACCAAAAGGTCTATGATGAACATTTTACTGAACATAAAATCAGAACTTTTCTGCTTCTAGACCTGGGAACTCAATAGCTTTAAATAGGAATCTCTATATATATGACAAACATTTTAACAAAATATAAAAATAGAGAGGTGATCACTTTAGACACAGAACTGTTTGTAATAACCCAATAATTGGCAAATAGTGTGTGCTCAGTAAATTTAATGTTACTAAAAATATATCCCTTTTAACAATATTTATTTTAGTAAAATCCATTCTCAGAATATTTCCTGACTTTTTTTTTAAAGCAATCAATATGAAGATGCTCCCTGGCCTCCCCCCGCTCCCCCAAATGCATATTGGTAGGTATTTATATTGAACTTAAAGTGAATTAAAGAAAATTCATTTTATAGCCAACGAAACATGATTATGAACATGCTTTCTTGGCTTATGATTTAAAATGTGATAACACAATTACAAACTGTGTGTGCAAAATTTAGGAGGAAATAACATGATATTGTCCTCTTTTACCACTCTGGGGAAAAGATACTTTATTTCATGTACTTAAGATAGAAAATTGGAAGAAGCACAGAGACTTTTTACTTTTTGGAAAACATATAAATCAAGAAAGGAAACATAGAAATAAAGATTTAGAAAATAATATTAGCAAGACGGTATTCTTTGTATCTGTGGATAACAGGAGCATTTCTAGCACTTAGTAGTACTGTTCAGAAATACTGTGGTGTTTAAGAAAGCTTCTCGTACAGTGGATGAGACCCGAGTTCAGCCAAACAGCGCATATGGAGAAGTGCTAGGACTCATGAAGGAAAAGCATGAACTTAATCTCTAAAACCACCGGAGAGAGCCACGCTGAGAGCACTCACTTTATGTTTGAATTTCAGACTGCTTTCCAATGAATGTGGGTATATAGACACATACTGCAGCATGAACTTTTAAATTTAAATAGTAAAGTGTAAGGTTGCATGGCATTTGCCAGGTTATTTGCATAAATAGTTGACTGAGTCAGAGTGGTGACTGCATTAGCCACACAGAGGTGGGGGACGGGCAGAAGCTTTACCTTGTCCGGGTCGGTGGTGGTGATGACCCACACACAGTGCGCATTGTCTTCATACTGAACCGGGTAGTTAGGGGACGTAATGACGCCACTGGGCCCACGCAGATTTGATCCACATGTTCTAGCTGAAAATACATAGAAAAAACGTTATTTTCTACATTATTTAATCAGTGTGGTAAAGACAGAATATTCACATAGAACTTCAAATTTGCTATTAATTGATCATGATAAAAATGGTGCACAAACTCAGGGTGGCAAGTGAATTTTGTTCAGCTTTCCAAGTTTGGTATCTGCAGCACTGCACTGAAACCCTTTATTATATTTCCAAAGGCATCACCGTTTACAGAAATGATCTAATTGATGAGGACACCGTGCACAATGTCAATATCGAATTAGTCCATTTCAAATCCCATTCTAACTCATAAAAGTCTTCATATACATGTAATTGTGCAGAGGGCCTGAATATATAATTGGTTGCACAAGGATGCAATAATATAGAGTGAAAAGCATAGTACAGTGGAACTCAGGGGACCAGAGTTAACATCTCAGCTATGCCTTTACTGTGTGACCTTGAATGAGTAGGAACAACCCCCACAGCTTCGTCCTTTCAACTTCAAGTGAGGATGGTGGAACAGATCACCTCCAAAGTCTCTTTCCAGTTTTAGATGCTATTCTACAATAAACTGTAACAATTTCCTTACAGTACAATACAAATAAGAACTTAAAACATTATTGAAAGTGTAAGGAAAGAAAATAGAAATGCTGACTCTAAAAGTAAAGAACATACCGTAAAGTTGGAATGAAAAGACCAAGAAGCATAAAAATTACATAACCAAATAAATATTACTTAGTTTAGAATACAAAAATATTTCAATTACCCTTCTCTTTAAGAAAAAAGTTTTTTTTTTTTTAAATCAATAGATAAATTTTGGAAATCTAATGTTAGCCTGAACTCAGTCTTAACATTAATAATTTAAATTTGGTTAGAGAAAGGAGCAGGAGAAACTAGTTTCACAAGGTAAGAGAACCCCTGCTTCATTTTCACATCACACCAACTGATAAAACTGTTACCCGATGATGGGTCAATCCCAATTGTAACCCATCCTTTCTTCCTTCTCCTTGCATGGGCACCTACTTCAGACCACTTGTCCCAGGAGATTCAGCTACAAAGTTGAACAGACCAGGACTCTTGACTGTGAAGGGCTACTTTGTGGGGGGATCGGAAGAAACCATTTAACCCTTTTTATAACTTTTCATAACTTCCTCCAGCAATAGATATTTTTCTTCTATTTATGTTGATATCACAATAAAATATGTGATTCCTATGCCTAATAATACTTCCTTACTGTATTGTGAATATTAATCCACAGATCTGTCTTTTCTACAAGGTTGTCATTTCCTTGACCTTAGCAACATCATCCTTTCCTTATCTCAGCACCAGATGCAATGTCTGTTTCCTTGACATGGAAAACTATGCCAACATTAAGACAAGATCTATAATTTATACAGACCTAAGTTGTACTTTAGACAATTTTCAGTTGCTTAGTACTTACTATGGAAATAATTTGCTAAAAATTAACCTACTATATGTTGATAAACATGTTAAAATAAACTTTTAAAATATTGGCATTTACTTTCCAATGAATAAATTTTGTTAAGTAAAGATGGATAAAAGGTGATTTAGCTTGCTAAACCCAGTAGGTTGTCATAGCTCTAAAGAGCACCTGACAGAGAGCTGAATACACACACGGACACCTTCTACACGCTAGTATTTCACTCTCTAATGAGTGTATTTTTAGGTACATGTTCTCAAGAGAGGATTGTGAACTTTAGATGTGAAAATTTCCTTAAAGCACTCTAAAAATAACTGTGTTCATTAGAAAACTTTAAAGAAGAGTTATCACCAATAAAATTGGAAGTATAATACCTTGATGTTACATATTCATATTTAGTTGCAATTTATAATTAACAGCTGATATAAACATAATGCAGTGTAAAGATTTGTTGATTTAGTTATGAATCATTGTAAACATACTACCCTTCTAAGCATTTCAAACTTTAGAAAAATACATGTGAAGCATCTGTGCAGAGGAAAAGTAATCTGCTATGTTCCCACTGACAGTCTGTACTCATCCAGTCACTGGTGCCAGCTGTCACCCTGGTGGGACATTCACTAAATCTGACAATTATTCACTGGCCTCCTGTCCCAGTTTCCTGCTTTGAATGTTGACCCCTAACTTGACTTATTAACATTGGTTACCAGCATTTCATGAAATTTATTGTACCTATTGCTTGGGAAAATGTGAATTTTAGTGATTATAATTTTTTAGTGAGACAAACGTTGGCAAAATATTTATAGGAAAACAGCACACCCTTCACATTTTCAAGCATACATAGTACTGAGTTTCACATCAAGCAAGTCATGTATTCAGGTTCTTTAAAGACATTCTTCACCCGATGTGGTCAAATTAATCCTTAAAAAATATTTTTTCTTTATATCTTATACTCTTGCAGTACATTTTAACATTTTATTTTGCCTGTACTTTTTATCAAGCCATCAAAATACTCATCTGAAATAAAATGTGTGGGATTATTGAGGGCAGAGATATTTGTCTGTTTTGTTCCTTTAGACAACCTTGGCAATTAGAACAATTCCTGGCATTTGATAGTTTCCTCAATAAATATTTGTTGTAGCTTTTGAACAGGTGTGACAGTGTTAAGTCACATGATCTAACTACATAATTAATTAATTGCAAATCTCCTTCTTAGAAAATTATTTAAAACTTTAAGGTCTACTTCAGTCTTTGCTCTTCTAAATCGTCTCTACCCTAATCATGTGCGACTTCACCATCTAGTGATCCTCCTCTCATCTCACCAGTTATGAGTCATTAGTGCTTTCTGGCATCAAGGTTCTCCTACTAGTCACAGACAATTCTTTGCTTTTCCATTGGCAAATAGTCAAAGTTCAATCATGCACGTGTATAGTCTTTATCAAACAATAATAAGGAGGCTTGAGTTGTCATGGTTTCTGCCAGCTAATACCCTCGTGGTGAAGGTGAGTGCCGTGGTCTTCTGTGTCTCCTACAGCTCACATTACTATGGGTTTTCTTTCTGTTCTCTAGTTCTGCAGCAGGAAGGGTTGTATTCATTTTTCTGAATTTCAGAGTGAGAGGGTAGAGCCAACCACAGTACTTCCTCTGACACTCTCCATCTCTTCTTCCTCCTACATCAGCTTCAAGCACCTGAAGATTTTGCTTTCATGTCTACTATAAGTAAAATTCTTTAAAACTTTAATATTTGGAAAGAAGGAANAGAGGATTGTGAACTTTAGATGTGAAAATTTCCTTAAAGCACTCTAAAAATAACTGTGTTCATTAGAAAACTTTAAAGAAGAGTTATCACCAATAAAATTGGAAGTATAATACCTTGATGTTACATATTCATATTTAGTTGCAATTTATAATTAACAGCTGATATAAACATAATGCAGTGTAAAGATTTGTTGATTTAGTTATGAATCATTGTAAACATACTACCCTTCTAAGCATTTCAAACTTTAGAAAAATACATGTGAAGCATCTGTGCAGAGGAAAAGTAATCTGCTATGTTCCCACTGACAGTCTGTACTCATCCAGTCACTGGTGCCAGCTGTCACCCTGGTGGGACATTCACTAAATCTGACAATTATTCACTGGCCTCCTGTCCCAGTTTCCTGCTTTGAATGTTGACCCCTAACTTGACTTATTAACATTGGTTACCAGCATTTCATGAAATTTATTGTACCTATTGCTTGGGAAAATGTGAATTTTAGTGATTATAATTTTTTAGTGAGACAAACGTTGGCAAAATATTTATAGGAAAACAGCACACCCTTCACATTTTCAAGCATACATAGTACTGAGTTTCACATCAAGCAAGTCATGTATTCAGGTTCTTTAAAGACATTCTTCACCCGATGTGGTCAAATTAATCCTTAAAAAATATTTTTTCTTTATATCTTATACTCTTGCAGTACATTTTAACATTTTATTTTGCCTGTACTTTTTATCAAGCCATCAAAATACTCATCTGAAATAAAATGTGTGGGATTATTGAGGGCAGAGATATTTGTCTGTTTTGTTCCTTTAGACAACCTTGGCAATTAGAACAATTCCTGGCATTTGATAGTTTCCTCAATAAATATTTGTTGTAGCTTTTGAACAGGTGTGACAGTGTTAAGTCACATGATCTAACTACATAATTAATTAATTGCAAATCTCCTTCTTAGAAAATTATTTAAAACTTTAAGGTCTACTTCAGTCTTTGCTCTTCTAAATCGTCTCTACCCTAATCATGTGCGACTTCACCATCTAGTGATCCTCCTCTCATCTCACCAGTTATGAGTCATTAGTGCTTTCTGGCATCAAGGTTCTCCTACTAGTCACAGACAATTCTTTGCTTTTCCATTGGCAAATAGTCAAAGTTCAATCATGCACGTGTATAGTCTTTATCAAACAATAATAAGGAGGCTTGAGTTGTCATGGTTTCTGCCAGCTAATACCCTCGTGGTGAAGGTGAGTGCCGTGGTCTTCTGTGTCTCCTACAGCTCACATTACTATGGGTTTTCTTTCTGTTCTCTAGTTCTGCAGCAGGAAGGGTTGTATTCATTTTCCTGAATTTCAGAGTGAGAGGGTAGAGCCAACCACAATACTTCCTCTGACACTCTCCGTCTCTTCTTCCTCCTACATCAGCTTCAAGCACCTGAAGATTTTGCTTTCATGTCTACTATAATCTGAATTTCAGAGTGAGAGGGTAGAGCCAACCACAGTACTTCCTCTGACACTCTCCATCTCTTCTTCCTCCTACATCAGCTTCAAGCACCTGAAGATTTTGCTTTCATGTCTACTATAAGTAAAATTCTTTAAAACTTTAATATTTGGAAAGAAGGAAAAGAAGAGGTAGAGAAGAAAATTGAACAGGCTGAGAGATAAGAGATGATGCAGGACTGAGTCCATTGAATCGAATCCAGTGAATGATATCAATAGGTGAAGGAGCCTTGAGAAGTGTCGTGCTTGCTCCTGCCTCTCGGTGTGTGGAGCCAGCACCTGAGGGAAAAGCCAGCCCTGAGACAGGAGGATTGAACAGG